AACATAGCTGGGAAGAACATACAAACAGTAAAACATAAGTAAAGAGTTTAACCCTACATTTACTGGTGTAATCAAATGTTACACATACTCTCTCCATATATGGATGTATGATTAGTTGTATTACACAAAACATAGCTGGGAAGAACATACAAACAGTAAAACATAAGTAAAGAGTTTAACCCTACATTTACTGGTGTAATCAAATGTTACACATACTCTCTCCATATATGGATGTATGATTAGTTGTATTACACAAAACATAGCTGGGAAGAACATACAAACAGTAAAACATAAGTAAAGAGTTTAACCCTACATTTACTGGTGTAATCAAATGTTACACATACTCTCTCCATATATGGATGTATGATTAGTTGTATTACACAAAACATAACTGGCAAGAACATACAAACAGAAAAACATAAGACAAAAGTTTAACCCTACACTTACTGGTGTAATCAAATGTTACACATACTCTCTCCATATATGGATGTATGATTAGTTGTATTACACAAAACATAACTGGGGAGAACATACAAACAGTAAAACATAAGTAAAGAGTTTAACCCTACACTTACTGGTGTAATCAAATGTTACACACACTCTCTCCATATATGGATGTATGATTAGTCGTATTACACAAAACATACAAACAGTGAAACATAAGTAAAGAGTTTAACCCTACACTTACTGGTGTAATCAAATGTTACACATACTCTCTCCATATATGGATGTATGATTAGTCGTATTACACAAAACATAACTGGGGAGAACATACAAACAGTAAAACATAAGTAAAGAGTTTAACCCTACATTTACTGGTGTAATCAAATGTTACACACACTCTCTCCATATATGGATGTATGATTAGTTGTATTACACAAAACATAACTGGGAAGAACATACAAACAGTAAAACATTAGACAAGTAAAGAGTTTAACCCTACATTTACTGGTGTAATCAAATGTTACACATACTCTCACAATACATACATGTATGATTAGTTGTATTACACATAATATAAAATACTTATTGGTATTGAATTATTGCACATGCTCACTATTTTATGTACATAAATATATGAGATGAAATAAGTACCTTCAAACAGGAATTTAATCGTGATCATTCAAACCTAAAGTAAACACAACTTTCTAAATATTATTCTTAAGAGAATATGCACATTTAAAAATTATTCCGTTGTCATTAGTCTTACATTCTCAGAATTCTATCTAAATATAAATATTTTAAATATTCATTACGAGTCAAATATTTAATTAGAATAAACATTCACACAGACAGTATGAGTACCTTCTCATCTGACTCAGAAACCACATTTCTGCTTGCTTCATCTGAGGAGTCACCTTTCTCTAAGTATTCCTCTTCCATTTCTTCATCTTCCTCTTCCATTTCTCCAATATATGAAACTAATTTAGATATTGGCCTCTTGTCTTGAATGCTTGAGGTAGACATTTCACCTTAAAAAAACAAGTATACATGTATTTACATATTTCTTATGGCTAAACAAGATAACATCTGAAGAGAAATAAAAAATTCTAATGTAGTATAATTACAAATAACATTTTCAGTTCTAGGACAAGATTATCCCAGCAAATTCTTTAAAAACTTACATTATAATGAATAATCTCTGATAGGTATATAACAGGATTCAAATAAATTTCTCAGAACTCAAAATGTACTTTCACTATGTTTAATATAAATTTCACACTTTTCAAAGCACAAGGAACATTAAAACTTCCTGGTAAAATATATTACAAGTTATTCATTGAAACTGGTAAAGTTAATTATTACATTGAAAACTACATTAACACATGTACTGTTATTTTGTTGCCACAAACTTAAATTCTTCCTTGTAAAACAATTGCTCTCATTTTACGCATAAACTATTTCTTCTAAGACAATTATCCTCACTCTGCACATAAAATAAACTGTTCCTTTTAAGACAGTTTGGCAACTAGTATTATTTTATTGCCAACAGTATGGAAGAAAACAATCTTAGTGTTCTAGCTGATCGGTCTCTTAAACCATCCAAGCAATGTGCTGTTACTAATGGAAGGGTATGAAGGATTTTAGGTTGTATCTACAAAAATATTGAAGACAAATCTATAGAGGTTGTATATTTTCCTTGTATAGGTTATCGGTTAGGTCACTCTTGGGTATCTTACCTTACGAAGGACATTGAACTGTTGAAAAGAATTAAGAGGAGGGCTACTAGGATGATACCTAGAATAGAAAAGTTGTTACATGAAGAGAGGTTAAGATCTCTGAAATTGTTTTCTCTTAAAAAAAGAAGAGTTAAAATGGATTTGATTGAGGTGTTTAAGATAGTTAAGGGAATTGATAGTGTTAATGCATCATCTTTCTTTCATACTCAATGTTGAGAATCGTAAGACTAGAGGACACAAATATGAATTTTGGCAGGATAGGAGTCTCTTCAGCTAATATAGCTTTATTTTTCTAACAGGGATGTTGGCCTTTGGAATGGTTTGCCTTCAGACGTGGTGGACACAGTTAATTTAAAGGGGTTGAATGGAAGGCTTGATAAATATTTGAATGATAAGATCTGGCTTTGAGTGTTTTATTTTTTCTTATTTACCTTAGATGGTGCAATGGCTTAGATGGACAACAGGTTCCCTGTAATCTATAAATTACATGTGTGTGTGTGTGTTATATATATATATATATATGAATGTAAACTTAAACTGCTACTTAAAAGACAGGTATCCTCATTTTGTGTATAAACTGTTCCTTGTAAGACAATTATCCTCAATTTGTACAATAACTAAACTGCTAAACTGTTCTCTATAAGTCCTTACCTGGAACAAAAAATAAACGTTAATATTTTCCTACACATATTTCTGATTGGTACTTACCTCTCCTCTACTCACATGATAGCTGTTCTTGTTTAGTGCTGCCCTCTATATGCAAATTTTTTTTCATATGCCACAAGCCTTGAATCTCCCACCTACTCCACAATCAAAGTGGCTCACTCAGTCTTCACATGTAAATCATCATGCAACAACCCTCCACCAATAGGATTAGGCAGTAATTAAGCACTAGTTTTAAGTGGGGAGTAAGGTTGGAAAGTGTGAGAGAGGTAAATACCTATCAGAGGTATATTTTTAGTGTTGGAAAATGTTAACTTCCAATACAGTACCTTACCCCCACTCATATAATAGCTAGAATCCCACATTAATAAGGTGAAGAGACCAATATAAGGGATATAGATAACCATTCTTCAAAAGTATCCAAAGAACACTAATGGAATGTGAACCTCTGTTGGGAGAGGAACACATGTGGGAGACAGCATAACTTTTGTACCAGTGATAGAACAAGTGTTGCATAAACAGGCAGAAAAAGGAAGGAACACATCTAATATTGACAGATAAAATGAAAAAAGGACAATATCAGGATAAGAAGGACAAGACATGTAAAATCCAAACTCCCTACGAATGATGGCTGAAAAAAGACCCCCCATACCTGAAGCCTGTGACACGACAATCCAAGTAGTGCTAACTGTAGCTGAAGTTGTGACACAAAATTCTGAGTTCATAATCAACTGTGAGAAAAAGAAAGAAAAACTAAACAAAGGTAAGTCTTCTTGACCATAAACTACAGTGAAGAAACTATAGAAAAAAAAGTAAAAACTTGAAAGCACTACTTCGAAAAAAAGGTAAAAATTTTATGACAAATGAAACATTTGCACAAGACCACGGCTTAATGAAAAGTGATGGCTAAGAAGAATCGAATAAAGAAAGTCCCGTGAATCAGAAGGATGTGTTGCACACCTATTGATGGAGGGTTATCACATGATTATTTACATGCGAAGATGCAGTGAACCATATTGATCGTGGTGTGGATGGGAGTTTCAGGGCTTGTGGCATGCGAAATAATTTTGTATATGGAAAGCAGCACTAAGCAAGAATAGCTATTATGTGATAGGAGGTAAGGTACCATATTGGAAATCAACTTACTTGTTGATCGTGGAGTGCTCTCCTTACTAGCAGGTGGTTTTATCTCTTCTTTCTTGGACAGGAATGTATCTTCCTTATCTGATTCTGCTTCTCCTTCTGAATCAGTGTAATTTGCTGTCAAAGTTGCTAATGCTTCTGTTTTCTGGAAAGGTGAAGCCATTTTGACAAACCTATAATAAAATGAGAGTTAAAAAACCTTAAAAATCAAGTCTCTTTACAATTATTTTGTCCTTTTAATACTATTGCTTGTATTATTAAACATATGCAACAAGACTGAACATAAGAAAAATCAGGATGTGAGAGGACCAAAGCCACACCAAAGTTAATCAGGACAGTTGGTGATAAATGCCCCATTCCCCAAGTAATTATAACATTTTTTTATTTATATACCAATCAAAGAAAACTAAATACTAATCCAACAATAATTATACAAATTCACAAATTTACTCAATATAAAATCCACAGACATTCATTACATGGCATTTTATCATGTAATGATTTTAACTACAGGCTATGAAATTCAGTTTTATGAATAGGTCTGGGCCTGGACATTTAAAAATATATCTACTAAAGTCATTATTACTAATACACATCATCAAGTAAATAATGTTAATTGCAGTATAACAAACCTAGAAAAGGAGATAATTCTGCTTATCAATAGGTCTGAGTCTAGGCTTTTCAAAAGTTGAAAAAGGTATAAGCAAAAATGGAATACATCATTTGAACAATGGCATGAGCAGCTAAATGGTCACTCTTCATGCTACTAGCAAACTGTGCAAGTAAAGCCTCTAAAAAACTTGAAGTTCTAACAGTGTTGGAAATATTGTCTTTAGAATTAGCATAAAATTCTGAATTTATTGTAGCAAAGTTAACAGCACAACTGTCAATATGAAAATTTAAACTACAGCAGAAAAGCAGAGCTAATGTAAGATCCCTTTATGTCTTTGCAATAAGTGCGTGAAAAGTGGGAGAGTGGAGAACTATAAGTAAACGATGCATGCTCTGCAATGTGTAAAGGATATTCAAAAAATCTGAGTCATGTTTTTGTTGACATAATCAGTGTAAACACAACAAGAAAAAACTTTCAGTATTTCAGTGGTAAGATTATTTGATTTACTAGTACTTTGCAATGGCATGATTTTGACTTGCATGATGCTTTTATCATAAACATCTCTCTCTGTATGAAATGTATATTTTCAGAGTAACATAAACTGTGAACAGCTATTTAGTTACATATCTTTATCTTAGCAGAAACAATTAATACAAATCCTATTGATTATGACATGATAATAAGAAAAAGGTAAGAATGAACCCAGGTAAAACTGCTAATCATAGAATGTGGCATTAATGTGTCTTTGGACCAAAAATTAACCAATATTTCAAGAAGAATTTCTGGGGCAACTTAAAATCAGCTGATAAATTACTTGTTCATATGATATAAACTTTATGACTGATCCACTTTACTGAAGAGGATTAAAATAATGGCATTTTGACCTTAAGATGATTTGGTTTCATGTTTGTCTAACATTCTTTATTAAAAGGGTGTTTTTCTCAAAACAACAAATACTGAAATTTTCCTAAGCTTTAATTCTCATTTCCATAAATCTCACAAAGAATTAGTTTTTGGAAGCTTGGTATACAGACCTTGTAAACTTTGTCTGAAACCTAATGTAAAAAAATGAACAACATTTTAAATCAAAACGTTTTGTAACAAAAACATGCATAGCATTAGCATAACACAAATACTCATTATCAGTGTTACATAACATATACTCAATAAAAACTGACCAGAATACTTAGCATTTACCAAAATTTTTATTTTTCCTCAATTGGAAACATATTTCAAATACATATTCATGATTCCACAGAAGTGAGAGATATTACTTTGTACCTTTGCAAAAAAGATTTCTGTACATTTACCAAGCCTTGAATGAACGACACTCCTTACATGTACAGTGCCACTCTATGATGCAATCAGCATTAAACTGTAGTCCTCCACCAACACAACCTCCATGCAGAGTATTACCTTTGAGAACATTGTTTACACCAGACGCTCATTCTTGATGAGGCATAACAGACGTACTGGATGTTACATACACACACGACTGTTTGAATTTAAGTATTGCATGAACATTAAACTTAGTTATTTTTTCAAGCGATAGTTTATTGCAGGTTTGTTTACCTAACTGTGCAAATCACACGTGTGTAGTTCAATTGTTGTGAATTAGCACTTGTTCTATTATTGTATCATGTTACTAGAACCTTATAAGTTTTTCTAGAGTATTATTACATAATAATAACTTGTGTGTGGAAAGTTCTAGGCCTCTGAGTATTTATAAATATACATGTAAAATGTAGTTGAAGTTAGTGAGAGATATAGTCAAATAGATCTAGACTGTGTATATTAGTTTAGCCATAAGTAAAAGTAGCACAGATTGTATTACAATAATCGATTAGAGAAGAATAATTTGTCTTGTCAATTTTGTTCTAAAATAATTGAACAAACCTGTGTGAATTTTGACAAAAAGAGGTAATTGTTTAAAGCTCTGGATACAACTTTAGTAAACAACAGTGTCATATAAGTGAACTTATCACCGATTGTATTGTAATGACAGAGCAGATAAGTATAATTTGTCTTGTCAAATGTGTTCTAAGGTAACTGAATCAGCCTATGTGGACTTTACCAAGAAGAGATAATTAGTTAAAGCTCTGGATACAGATATTGTGATTATCTGTGTAACAAACTTTTGCTATATACATTTAACTTGGTTTTAATATATTATTTTAAAACAAGTGCACTGTGCTGTTTGTTTATTGTTGAAATGTATCGCCAACAAATCATAGACACCTACTGTAAAGAATCCAGCCCATACATACGTAAAAACCCGACACCAGAAATAGGGAGGATGTGCGGATGGTTCTGTGGAAAAGTGAAGATCTATTTGAAATACATTGTCATTAAGGAAAGTGATGCATCATTCTGTGGGAGATCACATCCATTTCATACAGGGAATACTCTTTACCCAGATGTGGAAGAGCAAAAGGTACTGTCAAAACAACTTCCAGCATGTTGTTAAAGCATCACAAAGGTAGCCAGAATGTAAAAACTGCTCCACTGACCTGTATCTCTCATGGGGTTGGCTGAGAATGTATGTGTAATGTGGCTGAGGCAATAAGTAATACCATACAGTATTGAGAATTACTTATGTGAAATGTTTACCAGAATATGCAAGAGCAAAGATGAATCATCCCAGACACATGTCCCGAGATGAACACAAAACCCAACTAGCTGGCATAACCACTGGAAATGGTCTGGTTTATAGAGTAGGGGTGGCCTGTACTAAACTACCAGGTAAACACACCAGCCCTACTTATAATCAAGGTGTGCATCTCAGTGGGATTGCACCAACTCAACGGGGTATTCTCCATATTAACCTCCCACTCTACTAGAAGAAATGTGAGGGAGGAAGTTGCATAAGGGAGAACAAGGGATTACATTGAATAGGGACAGCAGATGATGCTACCAAGATGTAAGGGCAGGATCACACCTTTTGCTATTTTACTTCCCCTGAAGTATGGCCTGGAAGATAATATAGGTATGTAAACTGCTAAAGCAATTCTGCAGAAAACACCATCCACATGATTGGTTCCATTGTCTCTAGTACAGGTATATAGAAATAATAAGGTTGCTGTGGAGGCAGGAAAAAAATAAATATAATAGCCTCTGTGAAGGTAGGTGAATGATGATTGGAGGAAGATGAAAACTAGAAGTAGATGAAACTGTAATGTGGTATAATTAATGTCACAAAGGTGTTGGGGTTGTCAAAATCCTCATCTACAATATTTCAAATGGGGATGGTGATGGCTAGAAGCAAAAGAAGCTGTGAGATGACATGAAAAAGACAAAAGATGTTATCACCCACAGAGAAATAAAGTAATCAAATCAGTTGTCTGACTCAACTGGTCAAAGTGAAAGGAAGTAAGTCATGAGATGAAGAGGAATCCCAGGTAAAAAAAAAAAGGACAATGTTGATTGCCTTGTATAAGTGAGATAAGAGTGAACTGCCTAAACATAACAAAGAAAACAACTGAGGTCAAATGATCATATGAAAGAGAAAGGTAAATAAGGTTGGTTGAAGAAAACATTTGAATACCTTCCCAAGCAGTCAAGTCTTTGGAAGAAATAAACAATCTTGGAATAAATTCACCTGTCCCTACAAGGGAGATATCCAAGGTAAAAATGTCAGAGTGACATCTTCAGCAAATAAGGAGAAAATACATCATTATAGAAAGATGATATAGGAAACAGGTTGCCAAAGGTTCAACAGGGAGATATGTGGGAGCCCTAAGAATTAAATAGAGATTTCAGTCTGGAAGATAAAGAAAATGACTGATAAAAAAGTCCCTGAAGAAGTCGGTAAAAACAAATAAAGGGAGAATGGCCAAGGAAGAGACAAATATATAGAAAGAGATTGGACCAATCTTGAGTCAGACCATCTACAACAAGAGTTGCAAAGTCTTTGAATGATGATCATAAAATTAGAAACTTGGTAGCGAGGGGAGTTATAAAGGTTTTGATGAAAGTATTTCTAAAGTGGGATGTAGAGAATACTTAGCATCTATCAACGTATCTTACAGCTCCTTACACAGTGAGAAACTGATGAGAATACTTAGCATCTATCAACATATCTTACAGCTACTTACACAGTGAGAAACTGATGAGAATACTTAGCATCTATCAACGTATCTTACAGCTCCTTACACAGTGAGAAACTGATGAGAATACTCAGCATTTATCAACATGTCTTACAGCTCCTTACACAGTGAGAAACTGATCAGAATACTTAGCATCCATCAACACAAGTCCTTTGTTTTTTAAAACTCATCAGTTAGATAAATTAATATGTAAAAATATACACAGACTGTTTTCTATGTTAAATACTTTTCCTTTAATTGCAAGCTTTCGGTCATTTTACCAGAGGCTTAATAGGGCCACAACATATTATCAAGAATGTTGTTGCCTGATGAAGGCTCTGGTAAGAGGGCCAAAAGGTCATAATTAAATGAAAAGTATCTAACACAGATTTTTGACAAGCCTCTCTCTCTCTTACACTTTGTTACAGTGAGAAACTGACCAGAATACTCAGAGACTTTCTATGTACAAAACTCTCTTGCAATGCCGTAGATAATGAAAAACTGACCAGAATACTCAACATAAAAGTCTCTTACAACTCCTTAACTCATCTTCTCTTTAACACAAAACAAAGTTTGGCTATTTCATAACAATCAAAAGTTGTCTGTAAAGTTGATCAAGAGAATTAAATGTAAAATCAAGCATTTTCTGAATGTTTGTAGCAATTTAAGTTTGCTATATGAGATCTAAATCACATGTAAGTTGTGATGAGGTTTTTGTAACTTTTGCAGCATATTGGCATTGTTTATGAAGTAAATTAAGAATCGGTCCTTTTAACGAAATGAGAAGAATTTATGTTAATATAAAATGAAACAAATATTTAGAGTTTATAAACCATAAACATTAATGTGTTAACCATAATAAGATTTTTATCTTTAAATACAGCATACTAAGATGATGAGATCAATTGCCTGACTAAGTCAAATATCCAACTCAAACGTTCTTAAAAACTTCCAAAGTTAAATCTATTACATGCACAGTTTTCTCATTTGAGTTATATATTTTTTATGAATTTTAAGTTACATTCTGGATAATCTAGGAACCAACACAAAAAAATTGCACTGAAGCTGGATTAACTTTAAACTCAATTTAATTGAGGTAATATGTCTTTGATTTAGCTAGCTTCTTACCTGCTCTTTAAGTAATTTATATTAGTGTTGTAACAGATATTCTGCTTTAAGACCATAAAAACTGAGATAATACTCCCCAACATCATGGAAAGATCCATACTTTATACTCGTATATACACTGGTTTTATTAGAACTTTCCTGCTTCTAGACGATACAGACTGAGTTATCACTCCTCAACCTCACAGGACAACCTATACTTTATACTCATTCAGTAGACATTACACTGGTTTTGTTACACATTTCTTGCTTAAAGATTACTGAGAACTAGATATAATCTTACATTTCATTCCTTGATCTTTACAGCACAGTATAGTAGATGTTATGCTTCTTTTTACAGGGATCCTGTTAAAAAAAATTGGCATAAATATCAGGTGTTATATGAAATATCATAAAACATTAATTACAAATTATTCTAATAATAAGAATGGGATTATAATAAGAAAGATTACCTTCAAACACTCTCTGTTCACAAGAGAAAAAAAAAATCTGGTACTGCTTGAATGCTGTCGAACAGACATTTGAATATTTAGAACTACGTTCGAATTCTTGGCTAGCGAACAAACCTTCAAACTCCAGATGTAACAAGTCATACCTTAAGACACAAATTAAACAAGTGAAAAAGCAACCAGATGTAGAAACTACAACATGCAGTAGTATTTAAATAACACTGTTGATATCAAATTTCTCCAATCACTGGTGAAAAACAAGTGTACTAATAAAAGTAATCAGTTAGTCAATTAAGGGGTGAGATCCATGTTCTCTAGCACCTACTGTCCAACACTGTTGTAGAAGCTACTACCATAGTTATTATCATCCAAAATTGTACCTTTTGTAGTTTTTACATCTGATACAATTTCAACTAGCTAAATTTGTTTCTTCTGAGTCCAATATTAACATTAACTTCCAATCAGAGCAAGCTATGTACTTCAAGCAAAGCTAAAATTAAACCTGGCAATCAGCATAGCCAATTACATATACCTTTGTTACATTTCTGCTAATAATGATTGTTATGTATTGTTTCATCAGTTGGGTACTCTCACTATTCAAACTATTTTCACCCAAAATCCCAATAATATTTCATGAAGTTTGGCCAGCTTAGGAAAACAATCTTTATAATAAACTTTTTATGATAATAATTGTAAATATAAGTAAAAATTAATGATAATTGATACAATGAATAATATAAACCAATATCATTAATCAAAGTAACAATAAATAATATACCTTACCTAGCACACCGTATTCTTTGAAGCTATTACCACAGTTGTTCTCATCCAAAATTGTACTTTCTGTAGTTTCTAGAACTGATATAATTTTAACTAGTTTAATTTGTTTCTTGTCAAGATGTGACTTGGATTTGTTATATCTACATATGGACTTCTGCTACAAATAATGAAACATTTGAAGACTTATTACTGATTAATTGTTGTTGTTTTTTCCTGAACAAGTCCTGTAGTTAACCATCAAGATGTAAAAATTATGCTTTTAAATCAAGATGTAAAAATTATGCTTAACCAAAGAAAAAAGTTATTTCAAATGCTGATTATCTTGGGGATGAGAAATCTCAGACTTGATGAACTTATTTGTTTCATACTGTACACACATTCCTGTGTCTAGTTAAACTACATATACCAGACAATGAGAAAACCTTGTAAGCTTTCTACTGTGTTAGACTTGTAATAAAATTTACTTTGTTACCCATTCAGCCTGTTTTTAAAGTTCATAAGCATATCTGATTTCTTCTCATCAAAGAAAATCTCGATAGCTTTCAAACAAATATAATCTAATGAGAAATGATAATGGCAATATTTTGATTATTTTCATGAATTGTGTCAGTAATAAATTAAGCTGATCAAACTCGAATTAATCAAAAATAATAATAAGAATCACAATGGCAATATCTCAATTACTTAGATAGATTTTGATTAGTTGATTATTTTTGTGAAATTAATTGCATTAATCATAATTTTGATTTTTACAGTTACTGAATTAAGTTCAGATAATTGTTCAGAGTATGCTTATGATTTAAAAAAAAAATTTGGAGAATCTGTGAACAGCCTGGTTGTATTTTAACTCTTGAAGTAATATTATTGGAGCTGTAGAATTATTTTCTAAAAATGTAAAATCTTTGGTAAAGATGCGAGTCACTGTAATAAAGCCTTTAAATTTACACATAAGGAAATTAAACAAAAATATCAGGCAGAAAGTAGCACTGCCTGTGTAGGGATGGCTTGGATTGTTCATCGAAATGGTATTTTAAACATATCCCCAATAGGTTATCAGAACTTTGCAATACTAAACAGTGTTTCCTTTTATAACAATATCTATGTAATGATTGAGTTACAAGTTCTGTGAAAGTCTATAAATATCATAGCAAAAAGTTTGAATTTCTTGTTCTTTATTCTTCTGCTTCATTTTTTTTATTACATAACTAGAAAATCAAAACAGTGTGATCAACCAATTTCATTAAAGTGATGTAAATTCAAATGTAGTATTCACTTTTATAAGTATTATTAATAACTAGCAGTAATTTTTTAAAAATCATAATCCTAGTATAAAAACGATGTTATAATTTACCCCTTGAAGTTAGCTTTCTTATAGAAATTTAGTGTTCCTTAAAAAAGCTAAAGTACAGGGTGAAACAGGAATTACCAGCAAATAATAGATAAACAATAAATATTACAGTTGGAACTTCAACTTATCTAAAACTTAGTGATAAGTACAACCTTCCTTTTCTATTGAAACACTGCATTAAAAAAAAGCAAACGAGTAAAGAAATAACTTTTCAAAAAAGAAGTAAATGTAGGGATGGCTAATATCAATCCTTCAAAAAAACAATGCAAAGAAGATAGTAACAAAATGTTTCAGAGCATTATAATCATATATGAAAAATATACACTGAATATTTTCTATACAATATTCTGATATTTTATAATTAGGAATCCCAAATATTAAAGGTATGCTTTCATTTACTTCCAATTAATGCAATATATCAAATAATGAAAAAGTAGGAGATTTATTAAACATAAGTCTTTAATATATAATTTTCATTAAAAGGCAGGTGAGCCAGTGTTCAAGGCAAATAAAAATATATCTGAACCAAATAATAAAAGAAAAATACATAAATGAGAAAAAAAACATACCTAAAAATAACAAACTGATAACTCATGATGTAATATTACTATGGCAGTTATTTTAGTAAAAGCGTAGGTATTTCTAACTCAAAAGTCCAAATTGTTATAAGCATTGTTTAAAATAACATAAAATTCAAAAGCAAAATTTCAGGCCATCCCTTCCACAAAACACTAGAAGAACAACTAAAAGTCAGCCCTTATTATTCAAATATTTTTCAATTCATCCATTGAATTTATTACATCTACCATATCTTAAGGCACCCTATTCCAAAGGTCATTTACTCTGATAGAAATATAAAACCAACTTGCCAAAATATATTATCACCATGTAATCACACTATTAACATGTTTGCTGTCACCAGTAGTATTAATAGTTCTTACCCTAGTGCCAACCACTCATTTCTTTTTAACTTAACCCAGGTGTCTAATATTTATATGAGTAACTATACTATGTATAATTAGCTCATTAAAGCCACTAGTAATATGTGACCCACCAGTGTGTCATGTGGTCGATGACTAAGTCAGTTGTGATCCACCTGTGGGACACATGGCATCGAATGTGTTAAATACAAAAACAGATGATGCATCAACACTATTAATTCCCTCAACAATCTTAAACATCTCAATAAGATCCTCCTCTAACTTTTCTTTTTTCAAGGGAAAACAATTCAGAGATCTTAACCTGTCTTTGTATGAAAATCTTTCCATCCAAGGTATCATCCTAGTACTACACTCTGAAACCTTTTCAACAATTTAGTGTCCTGAGATAAGAAGCCCAAGACTGAACATAATAATAATCCAACGTAGCTAACCACTGCACGATGATCATTAAAAGTTAACTTTTACACAAAATTTATTTCTAAATCTTGAACTGTATATATCTATTAATATTATTAATTTAACATGGAATATTTATAAGTATGTGTATGTTTGATCCTAGTGCAAGTTTTTACTGCACACTAAAGATTAAAGTTAGAAATATTAGAATGTAAATACTTTTTTCATACTCCAAATAAGGTTTTCTAGTTTTGAGAAGGTAATCATCAAATAGATTTATCCTCTTATAAATTTACAGATCATCAGCCAACATTAAGCACTTCAATTTTAATATATAGTTAGGCAAATCATTTGTAAATAAGATAAGCAAATGTCCTCAATTACTACCTTGAGGTATACCCAATTCAGCATTTTTATTAGAATGACGACTTTGAAAAACAACTAACTATAAACAATTCATAAGATAAAAGAAATAAATGCAAGCAAATAAAATGAAAAAAAAAAACACAAAATACAAATTTCCTTCACCTTTATTTTATACAATTTCTATAAGCATCATATCAGTTGCAAATCAAACATATCAGACATCCTATTAGTTGAAGTAATTAAAGAAAAACAAATGGCACTCAAATGACCCTGCAATGAACATTTAAATCTCTTTTTTTTCTTTTTTAGTTAAATATATAGGATTTGCATATAGAAAATGTGAGTATAATTATGCTAAATCATTTAACTTTCTCTTGCCTTTTCCTACATAGCTTTTCCTAAAGGCTCCTGTGTTCCCTCTCTGAATCCACTTATACATATTATATTTACATGACCATATAAACTACTAACCATTACAATAATTGATATTTGATCACCACAACCTTGCCGTAAGTTAATATTAATCTTGCGAGACACTGAGTTTATGGCTGAAAATACTGTTAACAGTTATGGTACACATTCTAATCATTATATGTAATATAACTTTAACATTATATTACATTACTAGGTATATACTTTTAATTCTAATCTATAAGTAACTTGCTTTGATCAAAAGTTAATAACAATTTTGGAATAAATTTCTGTGAAGTCAGAAAAAGCTTTCTGAACAGTTTTTTCTACACAAATACATACACACACACATGTAAATATACATTATTTTAAAAAATTCTCACCCTTAAAGAGGTTAGTTAGTATATCAAGAACCTGTCTAAAATAACTCAGTCATAAAGTAACAGCTGCATTTATAACACAGTATCAATAATATTAATAAACTAACAATAATTAAATAAATCTGAATAAAGATAATACTCATTAATAGCAAAACATGCATTGCAAATACACTGGATGCTGCTTATTGTGATCACTTTGGGACACAGTTGCATTGATAGCAATACCCAAATGATAACGTTAACCTATGAAATAAAAATTCAGCAGTCAGTAATGTTTATTGATATAGAGTGGCAAACATATTATCTAAACATTTGAAAGCTGGATTTTTATATTTATTGACATATTTAAAAACAATTAAAGA